AGGGGAGCTTCTTTTCAGAGATGCAGGATTAAAGGACAGAGAAGGGCCCTCCAGGGCCTGCCAGGATTCCTTCGTCCATCTCCTTCTGAACCCACCTGAACTTGAAGCCACCCCATCTGACCAGTTTGCCATCTATACCATCGTAGGGAGACTTTTTCAAGTTACTGTCCCAAACTCTATTTTTCTGTCTGGTTTCTAGATGGAGACTGACAAGTGGCCAGCTAGAGGGCTATTTCCACCAAGGCTGGTTGCTGTGGTGGCAGGTCCCAGCATCCACTATCCTGGCACTGCCTCTGTCCTTTGTGTGGACGGCAGCTGTATTGACTGTGATTCCCCCACACCCTTGTGGGAACGGAGCACACCCATCCAGATAACTGCATTTGCCCCAGACCCTCTCTGCTGTGCTGTTTCAAGAGCAGAAACTAAAGGAGACCAGGCTTCTGAGATCACGGTGTGCTGCCTGTTTGGCTTTGGGAAGAAGGTTCTGGCTGGCTCAGGGACACCTTGGATCGCCGAATGAAGGGTTGGTGAAACTTATGAAAACACTGATATTAAAGGCCACAATCCTGGACACAGCTTGCACCCAAAAGGCAAAAATAAGTAGCCCTGTAAGATACAGACTAGCAATGGGAGGGGCGGTGGGGCACGAAGAGGAGAGGTCCGAGGGACATGCTACCCAGCACGGCTTCCTCGCTGTGGGACTATGCAGGCTATTTTCGTCTGGTTGGTTCTATGCCTAGCTGCCATGGGAAGGTGATGCACTGGCTTCCCCCTGTGCCCTTGTGCCGAAACTGGCAGCGAAGCTCAAGCTGGGTGTGTTACCTCATCGGCTTTCCTCTCTCTGCCCCAGGGGAGCGTCTAGTGTGGAAAGCAGCAGGAGCTTTTCCAACACAAATAAACCATCGCCTCTGGGAGCAACCGTGCTGTTGGAAGATGAGGATGGGTTTCACAGAGGATGTCCCAGAGCCAGGTCCCAGCCCCCATTAGGGACACAGGCCAATCCGGGACCCGACGGATGGAGAGATGTCCTCTGAAATACAGGTTGGGTGACTCTGTGCATGAATGGCTCTGATTCACAGGAGCGGCGTGGCTCTTTGCCGACCCTTGCCTGTTTGCGGCAGTTGCTGGGAAAGAGAAGCCCCAAGGCGGGAGCGCTAGCTTCTCAACAGGCAACACAGGGGCTTCACATGTGCGGGAGTCCCTGTGTGGGGCCCAGAGTGGTGTCGCGGCCTCTCTCCTTCCTCCCATTTCCCCAAACAAGCTTCCCAGAGGAAGAGAAAATGTCAGTTTTGTGGACATACATCTACCACATGGGTATTTTCTGGGTGGTTTTCATACTGTGTGTCCCTGGTAGCCACCCTGACTTCTTCAAGGTTATTTTGTAGTCAGTACAGTGTGAACAGAGGAGCCCAAGATTTCAGGATTCTGCCGTGCTCCTCAAGGTTCCACGGTGTCCCACAAACCTTCAGGAGACGCGTAACTGTGCCTGGGCTGTTTCACCTACCTGTATCTGCCGCTGGGAGCTGTGGAGATGCCACTGTTAGTTCACACAGGGTGAACCCTATCCTGTGTGTGGTCTGCCCCGTTCGCCTCCTGTCACCAGAAGTACACCTTTATCCTATTGTCACCTGGACTCTAGTATCCACCCCTCATTTCAGCTGAAGACATTTAACAGAGTAGTAACAGCCAAGCCAGGTAATGCTGCATGCCAGCAATCCCAGCACACAGGAGGCAGAAGCTGCAGCAGGAGGATTGCTGCAAGTTTCAGGCCCCTTAGGCTACACTGCCAGTTCTGGGCCAGTGAGTGCCACATTGAAAGGCTAGGCTTCAGAAACCAATGCATGAGTGTGTGCCAACAAGACATGTACACATACATATCTGTATAGAGTTTCAGGTGAACACAAAAGACAAGCGGAGGTTTTATTTTTCATATAAGGACAATGTGGATTTTAGTTTTAGGAACTGTTTTTATTCCTCCACCCCCGTTTTTTTTTTTTTCCTTTTCCTTTATTTTTGAGATGGGTGGGGGGTTCTCACTATGTAGTTCAGGCTGACTTCAAACTTGAGATCTTCCCGCTTAAGCGCTCGGCCTGCTGGGATTGCAGCTGTGTGTTCCCATGCCTGGCCACCACCCTACAACTAACTGCCTCTCCCCTGCCCTAGGCGTGCTGCCCAGGGTGGAGGCTGTGAGGGCAGGGCTACAGGCTACAGGCACACATGCCAGGCTGAGCCTGACCGAGACAGGCTGTATCTGCTGGGTTTGTGTGTGTGTGTGTGTGTGTGTGTGTGTGTGTGTGTGAAGGATTAAGGTGAATCTTCAAATGCCAACAAACTCCCTCCCTCTTCTTCCCTTCTGCCCTCCGTTCTTTCTTCCTCATTTCTCTCTTTATTCCAGCTGTAAAGAAATATAAGGGGGAAGAGGCTGAGGAGTTCTCTAGTTGCTAAGTGTTTGGCTAGCATGCAAGAAACCCCGGGTTTGATCCCAGCGCTGTATAGACCTTGCTGTGGTGGCTCATGCCTGCAGTCCCAGCATTAGAGAGAGGCAGAGTCAGAATCCTTGCAAGTTCGAGGCTGCCCTGTTCTATGTAGATATTCAGATAGCTTTACATAGTGAGATCCTACCTCAAAACAACACTCAGGAGTTAATGTGTGCTTGGTGCTTGTAATGCCTGCATTTGGGAAGTGAAGGCAAGAAGGTCAGAGTTCAAGGCCAGCTCCTGTTACACAGCAAGTCGGAGGCCAATCTGCATTACATGAGACCCTGTCTCAAAATGCCAAAAAATCAAAATAAATCATATACATTGATGATGATCTGGTTTATGTCTATATTGTAGAATGCTATGAAAACCACTGTAGTCAGCACACACCACTTTGCTCATTACTTCCTTAGTGGTGTGTGGACTATGATGGGATGTCACCTTAGATGCTTATCAATCGGCTTCCAGTTTTCCTACCCGTGGAGCCCACTTTACCTGTCTCCCAGCAAGTGTTTCAACTTCCCATGGAGTTCAAGGTTTCTGGGGATCGGGGCTAAACCCGCTTCTGAATTGTAACATCAGTTGTTAAAGCATGGCATCTAAAAAGTTAAATAATGTAGAAGATCAGCGTGTCTTAGAGGTGAGAGGATGCACCATTCGTAAAACATATGAAGCAGAGCAGCTCCCCATCAGTCAGCTGACTGTTTCTTACTAGGTGTCGGTCACGTGACTACATGCCCTGCCGTGCAGCATGGATCAGCCATGATCTCAGGTGAGTCTCAGGTGCTTGCAGCAGCTCTTGTCTCTGCAGAGGACCAACCGCATCAGTCACCAGCGTGTTACATACAAACCCTTCCAGGAGGCACCCGGGAGACTAACAAGACCAATTGGCAGGTGATTTGCACGGCTGGGCGAGAAATCAATCAGTTCACCATATCTATCACTTGGAGTCAAGCTGGGTTCCTCTGGAGCTGACTTAGGAAGAGGTTTCAACTTTGCTTCGAAACGAGGATCACCAATCCCCTTTGACTGATGCCATTGTGGGAAAGTCCCTATCGAGGGGACAGAAATGGAGCTCCCTTCAAGACCAAGACACAATACCATGGCCCTACTAACAGACTTCGGGGTGGTATGGTAGGTATTCGCCTAATCAAGGCAATGGGGAGAAAGGCGAAAACACAGTACTGGAGTCAAAGGGGGTGATGAGGCAGGGAGTCTGGGACCTGAAGCTTTCTTCTGCCTCTTGACGGGCAGTCGGGATGCTGGCCCTAGCACAGGGGGGCAACCTGATGCTGATTTGGGGACAGTTGTGTTGCCTTTCTGGTGGGGTAGGAAGGATGAAGGGAAGGGGCACTTGGGAACTCAGAAGGTGGGAGGACAGACAGCCTTCAAGAACATCACCAAAGGTTCAGGCGAGACTAGAGATCTGAAATATACCACTTATTTCAATGAGGCTTACTAACCCCTCAATACTTCCCTTTCTAAAGTTCTCATAATGTTTTTTAAAAAAAGTGAAAAACAGAATACCAATACAAAGATGGAATCAAATAACTACAGGCATGCTTAAAGTTGCGTGTAACTATCCTTAATCCTGCCTAAGACCTCTGGGGCTGTTCCTGGACCTCCCTCCGGCCACACTGCGCCTCAAGAAGCCGTGAGAAAGCTGGGAGGTAGAGGAGGGCCTCCTGCCCACCCAGAGTGCACTTCAGGGCTCTGGAGTCAGCCGCTGGGCCCTGGGGTAGGGTGGTTCTCACCAAGAGGCCTGAGACATCTGGTCTGCCCTGCTCCCCGGCAGACCACGGGGAGATAACGGCTAATCAGCCTGTCACACACAGTTTAGGAGCCTTTTCTGGGCTGAAAGAGGAAAAGAACATCAAAACCTAAATAAGAGATAAATACATATTCAAACACACACACATACACACACACACACACAACACCATACATAAATGTGCGACAAAAAGCAAGACCATCAAAATTGCCTACTGCTGCATGCAGGCAATGTTGTGGCATCTGGGTGGGGGATCCAGCAAACCCTGCTCTGGTGCCCCATTATATAACCACACTCTTACCGGCCCCGCCCATCTTGAGCTCTGCTGCTGTTTACTTTTGCTCGGTAACTCACACACCGTATTAAGGTTGAATGAAGACATTTATTTGTAAAACCAATTCCCGACAGAGGACAGACTGTATTGGCAGGATGCAAATGGGCAGTCGCTCAGAGGGCCACATGCACACCACAGTGAAACGCGGGGAACCGGGCAGACAGTGCGGCTGCCGACCCCCCACACTGCTTCCAATGTGCCAACAAGAGCAGAGTCCTTTCCACTGGAGGACACGGATGCAGGGAGATGTCCTGTGAGAAGGCAATTTGGTTGGACCTCCACCATGGAGTGGGAGGGAACAACAGGGGGCCTCCTTTCTGTCGCCCGTGGCTAGTTTGCTTGCTATAGACCCGCTGAAGGTCTCCGCGGTCCTCCGCCTGCCTGCAGGAGGGCAGCAGCATCCAGCACTCTGGCCTCCTCACATGCCCATCCTTATGCTCTGTATGATCTGGAAGATAGCTGGGAGAGGAAAGAAAACAGACGGCTCAGATACCAGACGGCTGAACACTGGAGACCCAGCCCACCCAGCACCCCACTCCTGCTGACCCTGCCCCTCGCCGGCTGGCTCAGAGCTGATTAGATGCTTCCTAACGAGAGGTTACGTTCACAAGGGGTCAGTGAGTTTCTTTCAGAAAGACAGCCGGGCTCTGGCTGCTGATGGGTGCCTCTGGGATTAATAACTTCTGCTAATTCCACCAGGAGCTGCAGCCAGAAAACCCCGAGGCATGGAAGATAGCCTTGGCCTCCTTCCCCAACTCTGTTCTGTGGGGCTGCTGGGGAGAGAGATGTGGGCCTTCGTGCAGAAACTGAATGCATTGAGCGGGTCAGTGAGTTTGCCTGTTCAAAACGGCCGTGACCTGTGAAGCAACCAGTTCCGTGGGGGAAGGCCAGCCAGGTGTTCAGAGCACACACACAGGGCTGGCCTCTGCTGCCCGGGACCCTGATCACATCTGTCATTCAGCCTCCTTGTGACTCTGAAGCCCACTGTGTCTCTGTGGGCAACACTGATGAGTTTAGGGCTCCACCTTTAATTAGCCGGGCTGGTGCGATGTGGAGCCGGGTAGAAAGAGCCTGAAGCCCACAGAGAGCTCCTGGGCACTTGGCATACCTGGAGACAACTAGTTAAGCAATGCCTAGCCTGGTTCTAGCTATTGGCTTTTAGGGAAAGAAGGTCCTTTGTGTGTGTCGGGGAGGCTGGGCATCACCTCATTGAATCACTGGGTAAAGACAGAATAAACATGGAACTGTCAGGACTCTCACCCATTCTCTGCACAAAGTCATCTGGGGAAATACCCAGGGAAGTCCACTTCCTATGCTGGGCTCTCAGGAACCCCGAGAAAACTAGCCATTTGGGGTGATATCACCTCACGGGACTGAGCACCTGCAGGCTGAACAGCTCTTATCCGAGCTCTTGAGCCCCGAGTGTTGATTTCAGGGTCCTCTTTTGGATTTTGGAATATCTGCCTATATACTGGAGAGTTCTTAGGAATGGGCTCCACACCTCACCACGAACTTTGTTTATGTCTCATGGGCAACTTACAGCCTGCAGGTAACGTTACACAACATTTTCATGCATGAAGCAAAGCGTCATGGTGTTGAACATTCCGCTTGTGGCATGACACCATCATCAAAAAGTCGAGATTTTAGAGAATTCCAGATCTCAGGGGTTTGCAGTAGGGACATTCAACACTGTGACGCCGACAGGAACTGCTTAGAGACAGACAGAAAGGCCACAGAGGGCCCTGGGAAACCTTCCTTGAATGGCTGGATTTGGAGATAAAATGCTAATGTATTCTTTTTCTGTGAGGGGGGAAGTTTTTCTATAGAGACACTGTGTATATACATTTATATGTATTCTTGTCTTCCTGAACCGGAAAACCTAATCATGACATGACATTATCTCTTCATGAATGTCCAGTGAGCACACGTATCACTAAGAAAAACGACAGCTAACGGTCCTTTGCTATGGCATCGTTATGGGGTGGGGGGCGCAGAGTTTTTACCACCTGCACATCTCAGTCCAGTTTCTTATCGCCTTGTCTCCTCATTGTCGCCTCTGGTCACATCTCTGGTGTCACTGCACTCGTATGCACCGTGACTTTACTGCTGTGGGCCAATGTCAGCAAAGACTGTTGGGATCGGCAAAGGAGTCAGCTCAGCAGCTTAGGATATTTAATCCTGGCTCTGCTCACAGATTCTCCCGGCTGGCTTTGGGTTCTTGGCTCGCTCTTGATGGGAACGTTTCCTACCAGAACCTACAAATGCGGAAAACTACCCAATGTTTCTGTCCTCCCGCAAGCCCGACAAGACCTGCAGGTTAAAGAAGCAGTCGGCATTCTGAAGGGCACAAAGGAGTTACATACTCAGTCACGTGAGGGAAAACACGTGCACACCTGTCACGTTCTGGGCTCAGGGTCACCCTGATCATCTCAAGCGAGTTGGTTTTATAAAGGGCAGCAGGTTAGATTACGGTGGTACGGGTTGAATCACAGCCATCAGGAGTGGACACATAATTCAGTGTCTCTCAGGCTAGTCCCTCTTCTCCCCAGGGAGGCAAGTACCCATCAGGATTAACCGCACCGTCACAGGCATTAAGTGATACAGGTGTGAGGGCTCCTCACATAGAAAGCGCAGTGCACACCGTATGTCATGCCTGCTGCAGTCACTGGCACAGCCTGGGACCAGAAATGGTCCAGAGTTCAGATTATTTTTCTCTCTCTCTTTTTTTTTTTTATCTTTTTGCTTTGAGGTTGTTTATACACACACAATGTGCTGATATGGAAATGAGACCCAAGTCCAAACATGAAATTCTTGTATGTTTCTTTTATATCTAGCATTATATCTAGCTTGAAGACTTCTGTTTTAAAAACATCTATTTGTGTGTGTATGTGTTTGTGTGTGTGTGTGTGTGTGTGTGTGTGTGAGTGTGTGCACGTATGTACCTGCTCACCAGTATGTGCACCATGTTTATGTTGGTTCCATTGGAGGCCAGAAGAGAGATCTTGGAGCTAGAGCTACAGGGGGTTGTGAGCTACCTGATGTGGGTGCTGGGAAGTGGGTTAAGGGGCTCTAAACAACTGAGCCATCTCTCCAGTCCCTAAAAAACTGTTTTGTACAATTTTTTAAGGGCCCCTCAATGTTGTCTGTGGCCCACTCATTTCTTGAAGTCAAAGGAAGAATTTTGAGATTTGGGAACATTTTGGGTTTCAAATTTTTGGATTAGACAATGGACCCATATTACAGTTACCACAGTGACCACGGCTTGCCCAGGCATGCCCATGAAAGTTAACACTCGCATGTCATTTGCATCCTGATAAAGTATGAACTTTAGGAAATTACAGTTCTAAGTTCGATGTTCTCTGTTTGTAAAACCATGAATTTCCAGGAATAAATATAGTGCCATATGTAAAAATCTGCATGATTAACACCCCCCAAAAGTTACCTTTTCCTTAATCTCATCTGAGGATCAGTGGGCCATAGGCCACTGAATAAGATATGGGCTAAGCCTTCATCTATCACACTTTATATTAAGTTGATTTGGGGCTTTAGAAGTTCTAGATCAAGATAAAGCTGTTCTATTCTCCTTACAGAACTGCTGTTAGTCTAAGGAATCTTGGACAAACTTGGTAAGTCTCAGAGGGGCAAAACCTATGTTAAACAGTTACCCTATTTGAGTGTTCTTTGAGAGTAGTCATAGTATCTGACCATAACTGAAGCCATGAATTAGCATACAGAGAATTTACTACTTTTAATTTGCCCACAGAACGACTCCCTCTGGGGAAATGGCTGACGTCTATTTTAAGTTCACATCTAAGACTGGCGCGATAGGAACGCTTATTATCCCTTTTCCATTCGCATCAATGTCTTCGAGAGGTTTTCTACACTTTATACCAATTATTTTGCCTGCAATTCTGTGTGCCTGCCAATGCTGACCTGCATGGTGACCCCGGCCCTCTAAATGCCGACTTTCCATGCTGCGGACAGGAAGGGAGCCAGCAGTGAGATCAAAGAGAGAAAGGAAGCAGGGAGTCCAGACCCTGACAAGTTAATAACTTAACAGTGGGGGAACAAAGCTGAGAAAACAGATGAACAGGCTGAAGGAGAGGGGCCGAGGGCAGACTAGACAGGGGGGAAGAGAGATGCCAAGAAAGGACAGGAAGGCGGGCGTTCTGGGCCAGCCGCTAGGTCCTGGGCAGGGCACAAACAGAGGCCCAGGGAAGTCTCTGCAGGAGTAGGAACCGCAGGAGTGAATGGACTCTGCACCTGCCCGTGTGACTGGGACCTTGACCCTCGGAGACCATGGGTGGTCACAGCTCAAGGTTTTTTCCCTCCCCGTTTCAGCCAACTCAAACTTCAGTGTGTTTGCTGCTCTATCTCCCCACGGCTGGCTCGCATCTCTGAGGAGCGGCTCACCGTCATTCTCCTCGATCTTACCTCACAGTCCTACCTCAACCCTTTCATTCTACCTGCTGCTCTCTCCACAGAAGCATATTCTGCTGACGTCACAAGTGACCTCTATGTCCCTCAGCCCTTTGTCTCGCTTCCCTCCTCCTGACCACTGGGTGCTCTCATCTGGAGTGCTCCCCTTTTGGCCTTTGGGATGTTGTGACCTCTTTGTTTCTTCTTCTGGGCTCTTTCCTGTCACAGTGATTAAGGGGTGATCTTCCTCCACCACGCACTGAGATTGAGCCCTGCTCAGTGATTTGCCCTCCTCATTATATTCTCTCTCCTGAGGTGGCCTGTCCAGTCCACAGAGGTGCTGGTGAGCACTCACAGTGGAACTCTCCGTCCCTGACTGTTTGGAGCAGCAGATCTTCACTGTCTGTCATCTGATTACTGTCGGGCTTCTCATCTTCTCATTCTGCCTTCTGCTGACAAAATTGGTGACATCACCTTCCATCCTCCATGTAAACACAGAGCTCTAGTGTCATCCATGACGTCATCTCCATCCTCCATGTAAACACGGAACTCTAGTGTCACCCATGACATCACCACCATCTTCCATGTAAACACAGAACTCTAGCGTCATCCATGACGTCACCTCCATCTTCCATGTAAACACAGAACCTTAGTGTCACCCATGACATCGCCTCCATCTTCCATGTAAACATAGAACTCTAGCGTCACCCATGACGTCACCTCCATCTTCCATGTAAACACAGAACTCTAGTGTTGTCCATGACCTTGTAACTGATGATGTCCTGTGGAATCTTGGGACATGTAGTCTTCTGTCTCCCCAGACACCACCCTAGCTCAAGTTGCCACCATCTTTCCTGACCTCTGCAATGACTTCCAACTGCTCTACTCGGGTTCTTCTTCAACCCCTTTCCTGCAAGAAACTCAGATTTGGCCTTTAACTAAAAGGAGATCAGATGAGATTACCCCCGGGTTAAAGCAAACCAGGAACGATTTGTTGCTAAATTCTCAAGGGCTACCATGACCTGCAGAATCTGGTGCCT